TAGTAGTAGCAGCAGTAGTAGTAGCAGTAGTAGTGGTTGTAGTAGTAGTCGTAGTAGTAGTAGTAGTAGTAGTAATGGTGGTAGTAGTAGTAGTAGTCGTAGTACTACTAGTGATAGTAGTAGTAGTACTCGTAGTAGTAGTAGTAGTAGTAGTAGTAGTAGTCGTAGAAGTGGTAATAGAGGTAGTAGCAGTCATGGTCGTGGTACGAGTAGCAGCCGTCGTATTCGTGATAGTAGTAGTAGTAGTAGTAGTAGTAGTAGAAGTAGTCGTACTAGGCACAGTAGTAGTAGTAATAGTAGACGCCTAGGCAGTAGTAGAGTAGTAGTAGTAGTAGTAGTAGTAGTGGTAGTAGTAGTAGTAGTAGTAGTAGTAGTAGTAGTGGTAGTAGTAGTAGTAGTAGCAGTAGTAGTAGTACTGGCAGTAGAAGTAGTAATAGTAGTAGTAGTAGTAGTAGTAGTAGTAGATGTAGTAGTACTAGAGGTAATACGAATAGAATTAGCAGTAAGATAGGATGTGGTGGTCGTGGTACTAGTAGTAGTAGAAGTAGTAGTAATAGTAATAGAAGAAGTAGTGGTAATAGTAGATGTAGTAGTAGTAGTAATAATAATAGTAGTAGTAGTAGAAGTAGTAGTAGTAGTAGTAGTAGTAGCAGTGGTAGTAGTAGGGGTGGTGTGGTACTGGCGATACTAATAATATTTGGCGTTGCAGTACTCGTGCCCGTAAAACTAATAGACGCAGGGGAACCAGTAGTAGTAATGATGCCGGTAATGGGGGGTAGTAGTACTAGTAGTAGCAGTTGTAGTAGGAGTAGCAGTAGTAGTAGTAGTAGTAGTAGTAGTAGTAGTAGCATAAATACTAGCTAGTAGTAGTCTAACTAGTAGTAGTAAGACAAGTTTAGCAATGGCGGCAGCAGTAGTACAGTAGTGGTCGTAGCAGTAGTAGTAGTAATAATAATAGTAGTAGTAGTAGTAGTAGTAGTAGTAGTCGTAATGCTAGTACTGGTAGTGGTTGAAGTAGTAGTAGTAGTAGTAGTAGTAGTAATAGTAGTAGTAGTAGTAATAGTAGTAGTAGTAGTAGAAGTAGTAGTAAAAGTAGTCGTAGTGGTAAAAGTAATGGTAGTAATAATAGTAGTAGTAGTAGTAGTGATAATAGCCAGTAGTAGTAATAAGACTACGGGTAGTAGTGATAGTGGTAGTGGTGATGGTAGTCGTAGTAGTAGTCGAAATAGTAGTAGTAGTAGTAGTAGTAGTAGTAGTAGTAGTAGTAGTAGCAGTTGTTGTAGTTGTAGTAGTAATAGTAGTTGTGGTTGTTGTTAGTATACTATTTTTAATAATAGCAATAGTGGTAGTCGTAGTAGTAATCGTAGTAGTAGTAGTAGTAGTAGTAGTAGTAGTAGTAGTAGTAGTAGTAGTAGTAGTAGTAGTAGTAGTAGTAGTCGTAGTAGTAGTAGTAGTAGTAGTAGTAGTAGTAGTAGTAGTAGTAGTAGTAGTAGTAGTAGTAGTAGTAGTAGTAGTAGTAGTAGTAGTAGTAGTAGTAGTAGTAGTAGTAGTAGTAGTAGTAGTAGTAGTAGTAGTAGTAGTAGTAGTAGTAGTAGTAGTAGTAGTAGTAGTAGCAGTAGCAGTAGCAGTTAGTAGTAGCAGTTAGTAGTAGCAGTAGCAGTAGTAGTAGTAGTAGTAGTAGTAGTAGTAGTAGTAGTAGTAGTAGTCGTAGCAGCAAAAGAAGTGGTAATACTAATATAAGTCGTGATCGTAAACGCAATAGTTGTAGTAGTAATCGTATTCCACCTCCCCCGCCTCCTCCTCGCCCTCGCCCCCTCGGTATTCGGCGGCCCTCGGGCCCAGAGCTGTTCTTCGGCGGCCCCCCGGCCCAGGACCCCCCCCCCAAAAACAAATTATCCTGGCGAAAGACCCAACCATAAACAATTGTTGGTAACGCGTTGTGGGTGCCGCTTTCGGTGGGGCTCCATATGGGGCCACGAAGCGCTGCCTTGGATGGGGGAACCGCATGCGGACTGCGCCACCGGGGCGGGCCTTCGGTGGAGCTCCCTATGGGGCTACGAAACGCTGCCCTGGGTGGGGGAACCGCATGCGAACTGCGCCACTGGGGCCTTCGGTGGAGCTCCCTATGGTGCCACGAAACGCTGCCCTGGGTGGGGGAAGCGCATGCGAACTGCGCCACGGGGGCTTTCGGTGGAGCTCCCCATGGGGCCACGAAGCGCTGCCCTGGGTGGGGGAACCGCATGCGAACACCCCCACTGGGGCCTTCGGTGGAGCTCCCTATGGGGCCACGAAACGCTGCCCTGGGTGGGGGAACCGCATGCGAACACCCCCACTGGGGCCTTCGGTGGAGCTCCCTATGGGGCTACGAAACGCTGCCCTGGGTGGGGGAACCGCATGCGAACACCCCCACTGGGGCCTTCGGTGGAGCTCCCTATGGGGCCACGAAACGCTGCCCTGGGTGGGGGAACCGCATGCGAACACCCCCACTGGGGCCTTCGGTGGAGCTCCCTATGGGGCTACGAAACGCTGCCCTGGGTGGGGGAACCGCATGCGAACACCCCCACTGGGGCCTTCGGTGGAGCTCCCTATGGGGCCACGAAACGCTGCCCTGGGTGGGGGAACCGCATGCGAACACCCCCACTGGGGCCTTCGGTGGAGCTCCCTATGGGGCTACGAAACGCTGCCCTGGGTGGGGGAACCGCATGCGAACACCCCCACTGGGGCCTTCGGTGGAGCTCCCTATGGGGCCACGAAACGCTGCCCTGGGTGGGGGAACCGCATGCGAACACCCCCACTGGGGCCTTCGGTGGAGCTCCCTATGGGGCTACGAAACGCTGCCCTGGGTGGGGGAACCGCATGCGAACACCCCCACTGGGGCCTTCGGTGGAGCTCCCTATGGGGCTACGAAACGCTGCCCTGGGTGGGGGAACCGCATGCGAACACCCCCACTGGGGCCTTCGGTGGAGCTCCCTATGGGGCCACGAAACGCTGCCCTGGGTGGGGGAACCGCATGCGAACACCCCCACTGGGGCCTTCGGTGGAGCTCCCTATGGGGCACGAAACGCTGCCCTGGGTGGGGGAACCGCATGCGAACACCCCCACTGGGGCCTTCGGTGGAGCTCCCTATGGGGCCACGAAACGCTGCCCTGGGTGGGGGAACCGCATGCGAACACCCCCACTGGGGCCTTCGGTGGAGCTCCCTATGGGGCCACGAAACGCTGCCCTGGGTGGGGGAACCGCATGCGAACACCCCCACTGGGGCCTTCGGTGGAGCTCCCTATGGGGCTACGAAGCGCTGCCCTGGGTGGGGGAACCGCATGCAAACACCCCCGCTGGGGCCTCCGGTGGAGCTCCCTATGGGGCCACGAAACGCTGCCCTGGGTGGGGGAACCGCATGCGAACACCCCCACTGGGGCCTTCGGTGGAGCTCCCTATGGGGCCACGAAACGCTGCCCTGGGTGGGGGAACCGCATGCGAACACCCCCACTGGGGCCTTCGGTGGAGCTCCCTATGGGGCTACGAAACGCTGCCCTGGGTGGGGGAACCGCATGCGAACACCCCCACTGGGGCCTTCGGTGGAGCTCCCTATGGGGCCACGAAACGCTGCCCTGGGTGGGGGAACCGCATGCGAACACCCCCACTGGGGCCTTCGGTGGAGCTCCCTATGGGGCTACGAAACGCTGCCCTGGGTGGGGGAACCGCATGCGAACACCCCCACTGGGGCCTTCGGTGGAGCTCCCTATGGGGCTACGAAACGCTGCCCTGGGTGGGGGAACCGCATGCGAACACCCCCACTGGGGCCTTCGGTGGAGCTCCCTATGGGGCCACGAAACGCTGCCCTGGGTGGGGGAACCGCATGCGAACACCCCCACTGGGGCCTTCGGTGGAGCTCCCTATGGGGCTACGAAACGCTGCCCTGGGTGGGGGAACCGCATGCGAACACCCCCACTGGGGCCTTCGGTGGAGCTCCCTATGGAGCCACGAAGCGCTGTAATGGGTGGGTGAAACGCAGAGAGGAGGGAGGAGAGGGAGGAGGAGGGAGGAGGAGGGGGAGGAGGAGGAGAGGAGGAGAGGAGAGGACGCGGGCACCGTCTCTTCAAAACGAAGACCCAACACCACAGGATGGTTGGGAACAACAAAAACAAAGAAATGCAAACGCGACCGCATCCCCCCCCCCCTTCCTCGCCCTCCGCGCCCTCGCGACGTTTGGCGGCCCCATGGCCCAGAGCGTGTTTTTTGGCTGCCCCTGGGTCCACAGGCGGCGCCAAGAATACAGCAAACAACGTAAGCGCGGGAAAACAAAACACCCTTCCCCCCCCCCCCCTCCTCGTCCTTGTGATTTTTCGCGGCCCTGGGGCCCGAGCTGTTTTGTTTGGCGGCCCCTGGGCCCGAGAGCGGCCCTGGACCCTAGGAGTCCCTATGGAATCCGATAAGATCCCCATGGCATCCAATGTGGGCCCCATGGGATCCCGTAGGAGCCCGAGGGAATCCCATAGGATCCCTATGGGGTCCCATAGGAGCGCCGCCGCGGGCGGGGAGGGTTCTGTGAATTATTCTGGGGTGGGGGCAGGGGGGGGGGGGCAAAGGTAGGATTCCTTCGAACAACAACGACAACAACAACAATCACAACAATGTCAACAACAACAACAACAACAACAACAACAACAATCATTTCACCATCATTCGCCATGCTTTCACAAGTCACATGCATCCTTCTGGATACCACACCCCACCATGGGTGTTTTTTCTCGCATGCGGGGTCCGATATTCCCTCGCCCAGATCTCCCGCCCAAGAAACAAATGCCACCACCTCTTCCGAGGAATTTCGGCATCCACAACTCGGGCGGCAAATCGACATCCGCGACCCACCCCACGTCCCGCCCGTGAACCGCCCCGTGACCCACCCCACGATCCACCCGCGACCCACCCCTCGCCCGCCCCCTCACTCTCACCCGCAACCGCGGGAAGCTGCGCATGCGTTGCGGCCCCTCGATCGGCGCCTTCGGGCGCGCACTCCGCCATCTCCTGTCGGGGGCGGCAAAGAGGGGGGCGTCCAAGAGGGGGGGGTGCAAATCATGGCCCGCGGCATGTGCGCGGCCCAGGGGGGGGGGCCGGGGACGTATTAAAACAAGAAGGGGCGCCGTGAAATCTGGGGAAATATCATGGCCCGCGCCATGATATCCACCCCCCCCTGGTCATCACCCCCCTCTTTGCCGCCCCCGATCCTGGTAGCCGGAGCCGTCGACGGCATCGACGAGCGGGCCGCCCTCCAGCGACCCCGCCACCGAGCTGGCGAGGCGGCACCTCACGGCGCCGTCCTCGGGCCGCGCGTCCAGCGACCGGCACGCGTGCCTGCAGCAGAGCGCCTGCCGGGCAAGTGCCGAGGGGGGGGGGGGCGAACTCCTCGAGGAGGGGGGGCCCCCTCGGGAGAGCCCCTCCACGAAGGGGGGGCCCCCTCGGGAGACCCCCACCAGACTCCCCCCGGCAGGCGATCGACGCTTCGTCTCCGCCCAGACCCCCTCGCGGCGTGAGAACATCGCAACGAGAAATCTGTCGCTACGTTTGGCCTCCGGGGGCCCTCACCAGGCCTCGGGACTGGCATGCAACGACGCATGATGAAAAACCCGTCCCTGGGAAGGGATCCAGACCTCTGGGGTTAGGTCGGGCGTGCCCCCCCTGCAGAATGTTCAAAAAGTGCTAGAAAACGTATTCAAACATTTATAAATAAGTGTATATATATATATATATATATATGTATATCTATATATATATATATATAAACAAAAAACGTCCAAATACATTGTCTTTTCAACTATGCTTGAATTTTCCTCCTGAGGAGGGACAGGCCCGACTTGACTCTGGGGGGTCGGCGTTTTGGAAAGAACCACGGCGTCGGGGCTCTGGGCGTGCCCCTGCTCACCCCCCACCCCCACCCACAGGGGGCCCGAGCGGGGGGGGCACGCCTCGGCACCTTGCCCGCAGTGCCAGGCAGCTGATCCGGACCACTGCTCCTCCTGGCGCCCAGCGCGGGGGGCGGCAGAATTGGTGAGAAAATACGGGTCGAGCGTCCGTCGCCGGCCAGGGGCCCCCCCCAGCCCGCCAGGGAAGACCGTCCGAGAGCCTCCTCGATCCAGGATCCTCGGGCCCCGATCCTCAGGAGGAGCTGGCGACCTTCCCGGGTTGCGTCCCCCCTTGGCATTGCCCTGGGCCTGGCAAGCCTCCACGTCGCTCACCAGAGGGGCGCCTCCGGGGAGCGAGTCCGAGATATCGTCGTGCCACTGCTGGTGGGCGCTCGGCCCTGGAGGGCCGAAACAACAGCTGCGGGACGCAGGAAGGCTGGTCCGTGTCTCCGCCGATGCCCGAGACGTCGTTTCGGGCGGCGGTGTCGTCGGCAGACTCGGCGCCGCTGGTATGTGGGGCTCGCTCCTCGCAGAAGCCACTGGACGGCCATCAACGGGATGGACAGAAGAGCAGCATCAGCTCAGAGGAGGAAAAGGTGCCCATACCTCTACCCTTTCCTCGCTTTCACCTTTCTGGGCCTCCTCGGAGGCCCTCGTCGCCACCGCTGGATTCGCCTCGAAATCCTGATCAGAGGGCCCCCCGGACGGGGAGCAGCGGTATCGGCGCCTCTTGGTTTCCCCATCAGTATCAAAGCACAGCTTCGGATTTGAGGAACAAATAAGGCATCAACACACACACACACACACACACTTTCGACGGTCCGCGCGGAGTGCTTGGATCCGCGCTGGAGCCCCCCCTCTGGCGTGCGCAGCGCGCCAGCGGCGACGCCGGAGGCGCCGCCAATGAGGGGGCTCCAGCGCGGATTCAAGAAATCCGCGCGGACCGTCGAAAATTATCCTGGCGAAAGACCCAACCATAAGCAATTGTTGGTAACGCGTTGTGGGTGCCGCTTTCGGTGGGGCTCCATATGGGGCCACGAAGCGCTGCCTTGGATGGGGGAACCGCACGCGGACTGCGCCACCGGGGCGGGCCTTCGGTGGAGCTCCCTATGGGGCTACGAAACGCTGCCCTGGGTGGGGAACCGCATGCGAACTGCGCCACTGGGGCCTTCGGTGGAGCTCCCTATGGTGCCACGAAACGCTGCCCTGGGTGGGGGAAGCGCATGCGAACTGCGCCACGGGGGCTTTCGGTGGAGCTCCCCATGGGGCCACGAAACGCTGCCCTGGGTGGGGGAACCGCATGCGAACACCCCCACTGGGGCCTTCGGTGGAGCTCCCTATGGGGCTACGAAACGCTGCCCTGGGGGGGGGAACCGCATGCGAACACCCCCACTGGGGCCTTCGGTGGAGCTCCCTATGGGGCCACGAAACGCTGCCCTGGGTGGGGGAACCGCATGCGAACACCCACACTGGGGCCTTCGGTGGAGCTCCCTATGGGGCAACGAAACGCTGCCCTGGGTGGGGGAACCGCATGCGAACACCCCCACTGGGGCATTCGGTGGAGCTCCCTATGGGGCCACGAAACGCTGCCCTGGGTGGGGGAACCGCATGCGAACACCCCCACTGGGGCCTTCGGTGGAGCTCCCTATGGGGCTACGAAACGCTGCCCTGGGTGGGGGAACCGCATGCGAACACCCCCACTGGGGCCTTCGGTGGAGCTCCCTATGGGGCCACGAAGCGCTGCCCTGGGTGGGGGAACCGCATGCGAACACCCCCACTGGGGCCTTCGGTGGAGCTCCCTATGGTGCTACGAAACGCTGCCCTGGGTGGGGGAACCGCATGCGAACACCCCCACGGGGGCCTTCGGTGGAGCTCCCTATGGGGCCACGAAACGCTGCCCTGGGTGGGGGAACCGCATGCGAACACCCCCACTGGGGCCTTCGGTGGAGCTCCCTATGGGGCTACGAAACGCTGCCCTGGGTGGGGTAACCGCATGCGAACACCCCCACTGGGGCCTTCGGTGGAGCTCCCTATGGGGCTACGAAACGCTGCCCTGGGTGGGGGAACAGCATGCGAACACCCCCACTGGGGCCTTCGGTGGAGCTCCCTATGGGGCCACGAAACGCTGCCCTGGGTGGGGGAACCGCATGTGGACACCCCCACTGGGGCCTTCGGTGGAGCTCCCTATGGGGCCACGAAACGCTGCCCTGGGTGGGGGAACCGCATGTGGACACCCCACTGGGGCCTTCGGTGGAGCTCCCTATGGCCCCGAAACGCTGGCCCTGTTGGGCGAACCGCATGCCGAACACCCCACTGGGCCTTCTGGTGGGCTCCCTATGGGGCCCACGAACGCGCCCTGGGTGGGAAACCGCAATGAGAACCCCCCACGGGGCCTTCGGTGGAGCTCCCTATGGGGCCACGAAGCGCTGCCCTGGGTGGGGGAACCGCATGCGAACACCCCCACTGGGGCATTCGGTGGAGCTCCCTATGGGGCTACGAAACGCTGCCCTGGGTGGGGGAACCGCATGCGAACACCCCCACTGGGGCCTTCGGTGGAGCTCCCTATGGGGCCACGAAACGCTGCCCTGGGTGGGGAACCGCATGCGAACACCCCCACTGGGGCCTTCGGTGGAGCTCCCTATGGGGCCACGAAACGCTGCCCTGGGTGGGGGAACCGCATGCGAACACCCCCACTGGGGCCTTCGGTGGAGCTCCCTATGGGGCCACGAAACGCTGCCCTGGGTGGGGGAACCGCATGCGAACACCCCCACTGGGGCCTTCGGTGGAGCTCCCTATGGGGCTACGAAACGCTGCCCTGGGTGGGGGAACCGCATGCGAACACCCCCACTGGGGCCTTCGGTGGAGCTCCCTATGGGGCCACGAAACGCTGCCCTGGGTGGGGGAACCGCATGCGAACACCCCCACTGGGGCCTTCGGTGGAGCTCCCTATGGGGCTACGAAACGCTGCCCTGGGTGGGGGAACCGCATGCGAACACCCCCACTGGGGCCTTCGGTGGAGCTCCCTATGGGGCCACGAAACGCTGCCCTGGGTGGGGTAACCGCAAGCGAACACCCCCACTGGGGCCTTCGGTGGAGCTCCCTATGGGGCTACGAAACGCTGCCCTGGGTGGGGGAACCGCATGCGAACACCCCCACTGGGGCCTTCGGTGGAGCTCCCTATGGAGCCACGAAGCGCTGTAATGGGTGGGTGAAACGCAGAGAGGAGGGAGGAGAGGGAGGAGGAGGGAGGAGGAGGGGGAGGAGGAGGAGAGGAGGAGAGGAGGAGAGGAGAGGACGCGGGCACCGTCTCTTCAAAACGAGGACCCAACACCACAGGATGGTTGGGAATGAATGTTTATGCCGTTGATTTGTTCTTCTACGGATGGCCGGGCGGATCTCTTGGGTTGGCGCTGGACCCCCTCTCCCGGCGCGCGGAGCGCGTCATGGGGCGGCGCATATGCAGGCACCGTCAGACAGGGCTGGACCAAAACGCTGCTGTTCGTTCTGCTATCGCTCTGCTTCGTGTTGCTCTGCCTGTCTTCCTGCACCCCCCTGCCAAGACGAAACACAACGCACAGCCGAAGTCGCGCAGAACAGCGTTCAGGTCCAGCCCTGTCCTCAGACGGCGGCCCGGCGCCGGCCCGCCGGGAAGAGCCCGCGCGGAGCTCCCCGAGAGGGCTGCCGCCCGCGTGCCCATGCCCGCTCATGCGCATCGCGCGACAGCTCCCGGCAGGTCCACGGGGTGCGCTCCTCCTCGACCTCCGGGCTGCACAGGGACATACCAATACTCTGGGTCCTGGAGGCGCGTGTCCGCCTGTAGCATATCGTTTCCCAAGCGGTGCGGCCAGAAAACGGCCGCCGCGACGCGTGCACTACGTAGCACCCCGCAATTGCGGATAAGAGTGAGGGGGCGGGCGCGGGCGACGCGGGCGTCGTCGAGCCGGCGGACCTCGTGGCCCCCACCTTCCCTGTCGATGGCGCTGTCCTCCTCCTCCTCCTCCTCCTCCTCCTCCTCCTCCTCCTCCTCTTCCTCTTCCTCATCGTCATCGTCATCGTCATCGTCATCCTCCTCCTCCACCTCGTCCTCCTCCTCCTCCTCCTCCTCCTCCTCCTCCTCCTCCTCCCTCCGCCTGCTCCTCCCCCTGCTCCTCCTCCTTCTCCTCCCCCTCCTTCTCCTCCTCCTCTCCTCCGCGGCTGCCGCAGGCGATCGACGACGACAACGACGACGACGGAGGCGGCGGCGGTGGCGGTTCCGCGGCTGACGCAGGCGATCGAAGTCAAGAAGTCCACACAGACCCCCTTGAGCCGACGTTCTGCAATGTTCTTCCTCGTCCTCCCTCGCCCCCCTCGTTCCTTTCATTATCGTCCCTCCCATGTCGTCCTCCCCCTCATCGGCCCTCCATCATCGTCCTCCCACTGTCGTCCATCATCTCATCATCGTCATCATCATCATCCATCATCATCATCATCATCATCATCATCCCCCTCCTCCTCCGCCTCCTCCCCCTCCTCCCCCTCCTCGTCCTCCTGCTCCTCCTCTTTTCTTTCTCCACATGATCCTTACATCCTCTCTTCTTCCGCGTCCTCCTCGTCCCCTGTTTACTCCTCCTGCCTCCCCCTCCTTTCCCAAGATAACTGCAACGCAATCCTTTTTTCCACTTTATGCTCCCCGCCTTCTTTGATCAAGGCAACTCGCCAGGACAAAGTTGCTGGACGGGCTGGTGTGGATGCGCGGGGCTTGAAGAGGTCCTGGAGGGCTCAGACGGCATGCAAAAATCCGCCGCCGCGCTTGTGCGGCATTGGTTTGTTCAGTGAGCGTGGTTTGGGTCGCGGGTGGGTCGCGGGCTCTCCACCTCCACCTGGAAGGAATGCAAAAGCAGCCCGCCGCAGGCGCCCAAATTATCCTGGCGAAGGACCCAACATAATGCAAGTGTGAATTAACGTTTTGTGGTGCCAGCTGTCGTGGGGCTCCCTATGGGCCACGAAGGCGTGCCACGAATCGCTGTCCTGGGCGTGCGGGACGCATGCGGGCGGTAGCACTGGGGCCTTTGATGGAGCTCCCTATGGAGCCACGAAGCGCTGTCCTGGGCGTACGGGACGCATGCGGTCGGTAGCACTGGGGCCTTCGGTGGAGCTCCCTATGGGGCCACGAAGCGCTGTCCTGGGCCCTCGGCCACGAAACGTGTGAGGGGTGTGCCGAAATGGGTGCGGTGCCGCCATGCAACCGCAGCCACTGGGGCCTCGGTGGAGCTCCCTATGGGCCACGGAACGTGTGAGGGGTGTGCCGAATTGGATGCGGTGCCGCCATACCAACGCAAACTTCTCGGCCCTCGGTGGAGCTCCCTACGGGCGCACGAAAGCGTGTGAGGGTGTGCCGAAATGGGCGCGGGTGCCCGCCATGCCGACGCAGCCACTGGGGGCCCTTCGGTGGAAGCTCCCTATGGGGCCGAAAACGTGGGAGGTGTGTGCCGAAATGTTGTGCGGGGCCGGCCCATGCCAACGCAGCCACTGGGGCTCCTCGTGGACTCCCTATGGGGCACGAAGCGTGTGAGGGTGTGCCGACATGGGTGCGGTGCCCATGCCAACGCAGCCACTGTGGCCTTCGGTGGAGCTCCCAACGGGGCCACGAAACGTGTGAGGGGTGTGCCGACATGGGTGCGGTGCCGCCATGCCAGCGCAGCCACTGGGGCCCTCGGTGGGGCTCCCTATGGGGCCACGAAACGTGTGAGGGGTGTGCCAAAATAGATGCGGTGCCGCCATGCCAACGCAGCCACTGGGGCCCCGCCTGGAGTTCCCTATAGGCCACGAGCGTTGGTGAGGGGTGTCCCAAATGGGCGCGGATGCCGCCTGCCAGACGCAGCCACTGGGGAGGTCGTGAGTCCCCATGGGGCCACGAAACTGTGAGGGTGTGCCCCGCAAAATGGGTGGCGGTGCCGCCGTGCAAACGCAGCCACTGGGGCTCTCGGTGGAGCTTCCTATGGGGCCCACGAAACGTGTGCGGGTGTGCCGAAATGGGTGCGGTGCCGCCATGCCAAACGCAGCCACCACTGGGGCCTTCGGTGGAGCTCCCTATGGGGCCACGAAGCGTGTGAGTGGTGTGCCGAATTGGGTGTGGCTGACGCATGCGGGCGGCAGCACTGGGGCCTTCGGTGGAGCTCCCTATGGGGCCACGAAACGTGTGAGGGGTGTGCCGAAATGGGTGCGGTGCCGCCATGCCAACGCAGCCACTGGGGCCCTCGGTGGAGCTCCCTATGGGGCCACGAAACGTGTGAGGGGTGTGCTGTGATAGTGGGAGGAGGGAGGGGGCAGAGGGAGGAAGGAAGGAAGGCAGGAAGGAAGGAGTGAACGCGGGGCGCTGTCTCTTCAAAACGAGGACCCAACACCACAGGATGGTTGGGGAAAAATTGGTTTGTACACTGAACGTGGTTTGGGTCGCGGGTGAGGCGCGGGCTCTCCACCGGGAGCGAATGCAAAAGATGCCCGCCGCAGGCGCCGAAAAATGTGGTTTGTACCCTGAACGTGGTCGCGGGTGGGCCGCGGGCTCTCCACCTGAAACGAATGCAAAAGATGCCCGCCGCAGGCGTCGAAAAATGTGGTTTGTACCCTGAGCGTGGTTTGGGTCGCGGGTTGGTCGCGAGTTGGACACGGGGTGGGTCGCGGGCTCTCAACCTGGACGAAATGCAAAAAAAAACCGCCGCGCCGAAAATGGTGGCTTGTACCTTTAACGTGGTTTGGTCGCGGGAGGGTCGCGGGTGGGTTCGCGGGGTAGGTCGCGGGGGGTCGCGGGTGGGTCGCGAGGTGGGTCGCGGGTGGGTCGCGGGTGGGTCGCGGGGTAGGTCGCGGGTGGGTCGCGGGGTGGGTCGCGGGGTGGGTCGCGGGGTGGGTCGATCGCGGGTGGGTCGCGGGTGAGTCGCGGGTGGGTCGCGGGGTGGGTCGCGGGGTGGGTCGCGGGGTGGGTCGCGGTGGGTCGCGGGGCGGGTTGCGGGTGGGACGACGACAACAAACAACAACAACAAACAACAACAACAACAACACACAACAACAACAACAACAACAACAACAACAACAACAACAACAACAACAACAACAACAACAACAACAATCATTTTACCCGAACGCTCAGTGTTCTCCCCAGTGCCAGGGTTTTCATGCGACGCGAGACAATACCCCCACTTCGTGGGGGGGCAGTTCAAGCTCTACCAAATATCCAAACGACTCTTCGCGACCACCCAAACCCAGCTTCCCGCCCTATGACGTTGGGACACTTCACTTCGTGGCGTGCGGACGACCGTGGCTACTACACTGGCGTGGGGTACACACCCACAGAACTTGGTCACTTATTCGGGGCGCGCGTGTGCCCAGCATCCTGCAATTGTGACATACAATACATGACACAGACAGACAGAGAGAGAGACAGAGAGCAGACAGAGAGAGAGACAGAGAGAGCGGAGTTGGTCACATTTTTGGGGCAAGTTCCTGAGATCGTCGTGTTTTTTGTTGGTCTTGCGCGCGCGAATGTCCACTTTACTTTTTTTTGCAAGGGATATTGAAATTTGATTATGTTAGAACAAGAAAAAGTAGCTCGCGCGAGCTCATGTAACATAAATGTTGAAAAACCATTGGTTTTGTGGGAGTCGGACAGCGCGCGCGGGATGAAATTTGGACATTTTTTTTGAAAAACCATTGGGTTTTTGATGTTTTTATGTTGAAATCGTTACGAAACCTAAGGTTCTGGAAGGATTTCGTCTTGCGCGCGCGAATGTCCACTTTACCTTATTTTTTGCAAGGGATTATTGAAATTTGATTATGTTAGAACAAGAAAAAGTAGCTCGCGCGAGCTCATGTAACATAAATGTTGAAAAACCATTGGTTTTGTGGGATTCGGACAGCGCGCGCGGAAGGACATTTTGACAATTTTTTCTTAAAAAACCATTGGGTTTTTGATGTTTTTATGTTAAAATCGCTACGAAACCTAAGGTTTTGGAAGGATTTCGTCTTGCGCGCACGAATGTCCACTTTACCTTATTTTTTGCAAGGGATTCTTGCAATTTGATCAAGTAAGAACAAGAATTTTCATTTTCTATTGTTTTTTGCAAGGGAAAACGAGCGTCAACAAAAAACCGGATCCGGAGCTCATCCACTTTTCTGAAGCTTTCGCGAAAAAATGATGAAAATGTAGCTGCGGCCTAGGCGCGGCGCAGAGGTCGCGCACCAGGGGTCCCAACAATTAGAAGGAATAATGTTCAACAACAATCATTTTACCCGAACGCGTGGTGTTCTCCCCAGTGCCAGGGTTTTCATACGACACCAGGCAATACCCCCACTTCGTGGGGGGGCATTACAAGCTCTACCAAATATCCAAACGACTCTTCGCGACCACCCAAACCCAGCTTCCCGCCCTATGACGTTGGGACACTTCACTTCGTGGCGTGCGGACGACCGTGGCTACTACACTGGCGTGGGGTACACACCCACAGAACTTGGTCACTTATTCGGGGCGCGCATGTGCCCAGCATGGTGCAATTGTGCCATGCTGGGCACATGCGCGGATGGTATTATTTGACAGGGATGATGGCCCTGGCAGGTGCGCAACCGTTGTCGCAGAAGTTCGAAAAAGTTGCTCGCAAAAGCCCGTTTGACAGAAATGTTTAAAAAGTGTTGGGTTTCCTACGAATCCGCAAGAGCGCGCGGGATGAG